AATATAAAAGTGTAGTTGGACAAGAGGCATGGACTCTGTGATGTCTTGAAGTCTACTGAGAGCATGATAAATATGGTTGATAACAATATGCTATATTTTAAAAGTTGTGAGATAGTAAACTTTAAGTGTTCTTAAAACAAAAATGATGAATATGTGTGATATAACATGTTAATTGGTTTAATTTAGCTATGCCATTGTGAACATACTGTAGATTAAGGCCATCATCTGGGGAAGTCACTTTCTGATGAAAGGACAGGCTCAGCCCTTGTCTCTCTGTTTACCTATGCTCCTCTTCCCTTCTGCCTTCCACTGTGGGATGACAGTGCCACTGGCTGACTGCAAAGCATCCCACCCCCATCCCCACAAGCTCATGTTTTAAAATCGTGTTCCCTGCCTGCTGAACTATTTTAGAAGGTTATAGAAACTTTAGGAAGTGGTCTAGTACATCACTGGAGGTGGGTCCTTTGGGGTGTAGTACTCCTGGTCCCTTCCTGTCACACTCCTATTTCCCAATCACTAAGACTTGGAGAACACACACTTTGTTGACATCATGTTCTGCCTAACTACAGGGGTCAAATGACCATGAATGATTCCCCTGAAAACATGAGCCAAAATAAGCCTAGCTTCTCTTTGGTGTTTCTGCTGGGTGTTTGGTCTGCTAAACCAGCAAAGTAGCCAACCCATGCATCAAGACAATCCTTGCCAGATGCCAGCTCCTTGCCAGACACCAGTCCCTTGATTTTGGATTTCTCAGCAACCAGAACCATGAAAGAAAAAAAAATCTGTTTTGTAGTTGTTTGCTTTTTGAGAGAGAGTCTCACTCAGTATTGCAGCTCTGTCTGTCCTGGAACTTATTATGTAGGCCAGGCTAGCTTTAAACTTAGAGATCCAGTTGCTGCTGCCTCCCAAGTGCTAGGATTAAAGCTGAGCTCCACCACATGCAGTCAAAATCTCTGTTCTTTATAAGTGGTCCATGTTAGGTATTTTAATATAGACATACAAACAACACTGGCCAGATATTCTACAGCTGTATCTTCATGTGTTTTCAGTTTGTCAGCTCCATTTTTCACTGGTTTCCTCTCTGTATGTGCCTGTTCTTACAACTGTAACAGAATACCCGAGAAGAGGTGATTTATAAGAAAATAAGTTGATTTCTTATAGTTGCAGATGCTGGCAAGTCCAAGGTGAAGGAGCTATGTTGGTTGAGGGCCTCCTTGCCACATCACACAGTCCAGACAGTCTGTTGGGGACATCACATGGTGAAGCCAGAGAGGATATTGTCAAACCCCAGCATTCTTATCATTTGTCTTTTGTGGGTCTGCTTAGTGTTACGTTGGTACTCTTGAGAACCATAACCTAAGGTGCACTGAATGAGATCATATTAGTTATGAGACTTCATCCAAAAGGAACAGCTGACCCAGGAAACTGACTTAGGAAACTCATTTGTAATA